TGCTTCACTGTGACTGATGCCATGTCAGTGTTGTGCTGAGATGGCCTCGCTCAATTTTGGTGGATGCCATTAAATACCACCCCAAAACCTGGCAGCAGTTTAGCTTAATGTGTTTAGGAAACAGAGAACAAAACTTTTGAATGAATAATAGGTTTCAAGCTCCTCCATCCAGGCACATCATGAGCAGGAAAATGAATCCCATTGCTCCTGCACCACGCCATTCCCAGCTGTTCCTCCATCTCTGGCAGCACCAGCACTTGGGGAGCAGCTGGATAATGTCTCCGGGGGTTGGCTTGGAGATAAACACTTTACATGGATCGATGGTGTGCGCAGCAGAGGGGATATGGAAATGCAGGATGTTCCCTGCAGCACTAGAGGGAGCACAGGAAAGGAGTGGCTAGAGAGAGCTGGGAGCACCCTGAGCCTCCTGGTGCCTTGGTGAAGGCTCAGGACATCTCCTGATGAAAAAAATTAATAAAGATTGATTGGCTCATGGGGTGAGGAATACAACCAAACCAGAATAGCCTGGGCTGATTGCAGGGCATAAATGTTCAGAAAGGTTGAGGAACTGACTGCACCTTTATGGATTGCAGTTTAGTCACTGCTCAAATTCCTCTAAAGCCAACAAAATGTGAGCTCACTCCGCTTTAGAGGATGAGACACTGATATATTTTCTCTACATTCTACAGTTTATTCACTTCTTGTTTTACACAACTCAGTTATTTGCAATGTTTCACCCCAGTTCTGATATGAAAGCAGTGAAATGTCATGACACAGTGATGAAAACCATACCAGAGTGAATGAATTTGCTGCTGAGACAAAAGAATGAGAATGAATTCTGCTGCTGAATTTGTGTTTGCCTTAAAAGAGAAGTGAAATGTCAGTAAGTCACACCTGAGTGAGCAGCCTGTCCAAATCCTCTGCCCACCAGCAAGGCAGAGTTCTTGCTGCGCCTCTGAGACTCTGAGCAATGCTTTGGTATCAAGTCCCTGAGGACCTGAGTCAGATTAATTTATACAGAAATGAAATACTTGCTCAGTGCAAGCTGAATTTATTTTTACTAAGATAACAGAAGTAAAAATGCTGATAGATGCTCAAGTAAAAAGTTCAGCACTCCCTGTCTAATTTTTCTTAAAATATGTTCATTTGTGCACTGCACCCATCCTTTCTGGGCAGGAGCTCCTTGGCCATGTCACATGCTGGCCAGCCACATGTTCAATGGTTTTGTCCACTGGCATAAATATGTCCTCAAAACCTTAAATCTCTTGCAAATGGGAGTGCAGATACTTCTGAAGTAAATTTTAGTGCTGAGGTTGGCAATCTTTTACCCCTGAGTTTTAAGCAGCTGTGATTGAACCTAAGTCTTGCTACAGGGCATCTCAGGTTTGATCTTCACTGACACAGGTTCCTAAATAGATATTTCTTTTAGTTACTGAATCAGAGGATGTACCTCTCCTCACAGGATGCCTTTTCTTGTCTTAGCCTGATAAAACAATTATTTGTCACAGGATGTGTCATGAGCGCAAGGCCATCACTGTGATGCTCCTGGGTCCCACAGGTGTAGCTGCTGGCTCTGGAGCACAGGTGTGGGGCTTTCAGGGATCCATGCAGTTCTCAGGGCATGGATCCTCAGGACATGAGTGTCATTGAGAGCTTGGACTGTGTTTCAAGAAGGGAACAGAGCTGGGGAAGGGGCTGGAGCACCAGAGAGGCTGAGGGAGCTGAGGGGGCTCAGCCTGGAGAAAAGGAGGCTCAGGGGGGACCTTCTCACCCTCACAACTCCCTGACAGGAGGGGGCAGCCAGGTGGGGGTCAGGCTGCACCAGAGAGGCTGAGGGAGCTGAGGGGGGGGCTCAGCCTGGAGAAAAGGAGGCTCAGGGGGGACCTTCTCACCCTCACAACTCCCTGACAGGAGGGGGCAGCCAGCTGGGGGTCAGGCTCCTGTCCCAATTAACAAGGGACGGGACAAGAGGACATGGCTCATCTTGTGCCAGGGGAGGTTTAGATTGGACATTAGGAAAATGTTTTCATCGAAACGGCTGTCAAGCTCTGGCACAGGCTGCCCAGGGACCAGGTGGAGTCACCTCCCTGGATGGATTTAAAAGCCATGTAGGTGGACACCTGGGGACATGCTTTAGTGGTGGGCTTGGCTGCGCTGGGGGAACATTTACACCTGATGGTCTTGGAGAGGTTTTCCAATCCCAACAAACCTGTGACGATTCTGTGCTCCTATGACTCCATAATTTCTCCAGGAGTCAGTTCTTCCCCCTCGTCATGCCCGGCCCCCGCCGAGGTGCTGAAGGGACAGCTCCGGCCGGGGTCCGCCGGCGGTGGCTGTCCTGAAGGGACAGCTCCGGGCTGAGCAGCTCCCGGGGCCCGGGGGGCTCGGTGCGCTGCTCCCTCCCGCTGCTTCCCCCGGCAGAGGGGAGCGCCGGACAGCGGGGGCTGCTCGGGACCCTCCCCCGCCGGTCCCCGGGGCCGCGGCAGCTCCAGCGCCGCTCCCGGTCCTGTGCCCCGCTCATTGCGGCTGCGGCTCCCGGTCCTGTGTGCCGCTCATTGCGGCTGCAGCTCCCGGTCCTGTGTGCCGCTCATTGCGGCTGCAGCTCCCGGTCCTGTGCCACTCATTGCGGCTGCAGCTCCCGGTTCTGTGTGCCGCTCATTGCGGCTGCAGGCTCCGGGAGGGGAAGGACACAGAGCGCTTCCAGAGCTCGGCACAGCCCTGCCGCAGCCCAGCGCCTTTTGTCCTCTTGCTCCTCTTCGTTTTAATTGACATAGAGGGAGGGTCAGTTTGCTCTGCAGCAGGGAAAGCCGGACAGCGGAGATCCCGAAGGAATGGGGGCAGCTGTGAAATGACCACGGCAAAGCTCCTGAAAGGCAGGGAATGCAGCATGGAATCATCTGCACACCGTGCCAGCGCTGAAGCCCGAGTCGTGGAACACAAAGTGCTGTGCTCTGTAACAAGTGCTGCCAGACAATTAAATTGAATTAAATGAGGGGGTGGGGGGTGTGGCACATCTGCCTCGTGCCTTGGTTTCACCCAGGACCAGATGTAATGGTGGAGCAACAACCTTGTTGACTGGTTTGTTTGTATTAAATGAGAATGTCTAAATGATAATAAATGATAATGTCTCTCATCTATTCCCAGGGATCCTCCTCAGGGCTCTTGGCAGCACATTAGGAGATGCATTAGCTTCCTGCTCCATGCCACAACTTTGGGCCTCTCAGAGGCTCTCCAGAGGTTTTTTTTCATTAAGAACAAAATCAAAGATGTCTGGCTGCCACTGCTGGTGTAAACTATTCCTATTTGGTTTACCTTTAACAGCAGGACTGGGCAGGAGGTTCAAATCAGAATGGGCAGCAAGCTAAAAAAGTTCAGTCAAGATGTGAGCTTCAGGGATGGTGGTTTAGCAAAAGAAGGGTGCTAATTATAGTGAAATTCTGTACCTAGGAGGAGAAATCAGTGAAAGCATGAAAATGGCATAGGTTTTCCCACTCAGCTGTGGGAAGGCGGAGGAGAATACCTGAAAGATGTTCCTAAGGGCACGTGATACACACAATGTTACTTTTTTTGGAATTGTTCTGTGCCTATTCAGATCACAAAGTTCTGGGGATTTCCCTGTCCTGGCCTAGGGGAGGGTCTTGCTCTGAAGGTGGCATTGGAAGCTGAGCTGCAGAGTTGCCTCTGGCTGGAGCATGAAATGGAGCTGAGGACAGAGGGGACAAAGCAAGGCCAGAAGCACCAGGATATGTGGGGAGCCCAGAGGCAGAGCCAGGGCAGGACAGCAGAATGCCTGTGGCAGGGGCAGGAGGAAGGACAGCACAAGGACACTCAGGGCTGGTTTGCAGGACATGCAGCCATGAAGACACTGTCCCCACGAGCCTGGGTGTCACCCAAGGAGCCAGCCCAGGACAGAGCCTCACAGGACCCATGAGGCAGCAACACCCACTGCTGAGCCCCAGCTGCTGACCTGACTCATGGGAGTGATGCTGTGAGGGTTTCACTGATGTGACAAAGAATGTGACAGCCTGACAGAGCACCTCACTGGCCTCAACTCCTTCTATTCTGAGGTTCTTTGTCAGCAGTGTGCAAACAGTTCACTGTGTTAAATGTGCTGAACTCCAAAAATACAGGTGAAGATTGCCCCAGAAGCAGATTGCTGCAGTCTGTGTTGGGGCAGCACTTGGATGCTGTGGTGCATCCTCCAGTCACAGGAACAATGAGCAAACTGAGGGCTCACAGCAGCAGAGCTGGAAAGGATTGAGTGTTTCCTGTCCTTTACAGAAGGACAGGTCACAGACTGTGACTGTTATTGTGGTCACAGACTGTGCCAACCTTTGCCTGTGTGGCCACGGTAGTGGCAGAACCCACTCACATCCTCCTTGATCTGCTGCAGGGCAGGAGGTGCCTTGGAAGTTGGGGTCCAGCTCTTCCTGTGGTAGCAGAGCTCCTGAACAGTTTCATCACTCAAATGCCCCTTTGTTCTCCACATTACTGACCTCCTCCTGCCTCTTCACCCTCACCTCAGAAATGCTGAATTGTGAAATATTCCCAACTCTCCAGGGGTTGAGCAATGTCTCCAGGTGTCAGTGGGCATCATTTATCTCAGAGACTGGAAATTCCACTTCCAGAGAAAGGGTGGGGCAGCTGTCCCAACATGTTTAACTACACAGGCTGCAGCATCCCAGCTCCTTTGGAGGGAAAACCCTGCACAGAAACTTAACCCCTGGATGTGTTAAATCCCTACCGTGTGTGTTCCCATAACATTTGCCACACTGGCACCTAATTTAGGCTGGCCTAGATCAGACACTCCTTGGGGACCTTTTGGCAAGCTATGGCAGCTTGGAAACATCTCCACAGAGTCTGGGAGCTGCAAGTGGGATTTCCTGGCAGCATGAAAAAGCCTCCACAGAGTCTGATAGCTGCAAATGGGATACTCGCTTAATTTCTCCATGAAAAAGAAGCTATTAGAATCTCTCTCATTGCTATTTCATATTTTTCAGCCTACAAGGAGAAAATGAAGGAGCTGTCTCTGCTCTCCCTCATCTGCTCCTGTTTCCACACCCAGCCCCATCCCAACACCATCTACCAGTATGGAGGTAGGTAACCTGCTCCCTCTCCAGCAGTGTTTGGATTGTTCCCCCACAGGCAATGTGGGAGCTTGCCAGAGTCAGAGTCTCTGCTTCATGTAAGGGTGACATACAAGGTATTAACAGCAATGTGACCTTTCTGTAATTGTGCCATGGCTTTAAATTAATTGCATTTGCATGGAGGGAATGAAGGTGATCACTAATCAAGAAATTCTGGAGATAAAACAAAATCACCCAGATCAGGACATGGGAAGATCCTAATTCCTGTGTGAGGAACTTGATGACCTCAGGTCACTCTCCTGAGTGGCACAGGTTCACAAAGTCAGTGATTTTTTTTCCCCACAAAGATATGGAGGTGAAGCAGCTGGATAAGAGGGCATCAGGCCAGAGCTTCGAAGTGATCCTGAAGTCCCCTTCAGATTTATCTCCTGAGAGCCCAATCCTTTCCTCCCCTCCCAAGAAGAAGGACCTGTCCCTGGAGGAGCTGCAGAGGAGGCTGGAGGCTGCAGAAGAGAGGAGGAAGGTAAGATGTCCTGGAGAAGCAGTGACTTTTCTGGTACTAATTGCACCAAACCCTAAAACTCAGCAGGATTAATCTAAAACAGCTGGGAAGTGTTCTGACACTTGTTATTCCACTGTAAATTGTCAGGTGAGACACAGGCATCATGGAGTGAGGTTCTGCAGCGTGATTTAGGCAGGGAACTGAACTCCATCCTCATCGTCATCATGTGATCACTTGGGGACATGGGTTAGTGGTGGGCTGGCCAGCGCTGGGGGAACTGTTGGGCTCAGTGATCTCAGAGGGCTTTTCCAACCTAGACAATTCTGTGGTAGCAGGAAAAAGGCACCAAAAGTATTTTGCAAGCAAGAAGATTGTGTTATGGGGGGGAGGGGGCTGGCAGAGTGGATTGAGCAGAGGAGGGAGTCAGGAAGCCTCTCTGGGGAGATGAAGGCTGGAAGAGCCTCTCGGTGGCCTCACCCCATCCCTGGCAGACCCAGGAGGCGCAGGTGCTGAAGCAGCTGGCGGAGAAGCGGGAACACGAGCGGGAGGTGCTGCACAAGGCTCTGGAGGAGAACAACAACTTCAGCCGCCTGGCCGAGGAGAAGCTCAACTACAAGATGGAGCTGAGCAGGGAGATCCGTGAGGCACACCTTGCTGCCTTGAGGGAGCGGCTCCGTGAGAAGGCAAGTAGGGCCCCTGAGACAGGGCTGGGGGTTGGGGGTGCTGGGGGTGCTGATCCTTATGGAAAAATGGGGTCTGGTCCCAGTGTGATGGGTGCGAGGGACGGGGTGTTTCCCTGGTGGTGGTTGCTGAGGAGGAGCTCTGCTCCAGAGCAGGGTGAGGAAGGGGGTTATGCCCTTCAAGGTCAGTAGAGAACATAGCCTGCATAATCTGATAAGTGCAAACCCAAAGCCACAGTGTCAGACCCACCATGGGTGTGTGGCTGAAGGGTTTTGCAGGAGAGAGGAGCCAGGAGCGCGTTCGCTGGAGGTTCCATCACCTCCAAGCTCCCACAGATGATCCTTCACTCCTTGCAGGTGTAACCCCCCACCCTCGGGATGTTTTGGATGAGAAACTGGTCTCTTTTTTTATGTCTGATGCAAATCCTGTGTACAGGAGGAAAACATTGATGACAAGAGCAGGGCGTGTTAGCCCGGTGTCATTTCTCCTGTCTTTGCAGGAACTGCACGCGGCCGAAGTCCGCAGGAACAAGGAACAGCGGGAGGAGATCTCTGGATAAAGGGCTTTTCTACACATCTAGCACCTGATTCCTGTTAACAAACCAACCAGTCGACCAACCAACACATTTTGTTTTGTTTGTCTAGATGCGACATTGGGTTCTCCATCCCCCCTCCCCGGTGTTCGTCCCCAGCTACACGCTTCTCTCTGCATCCCTAATCGTCAGTGCTTGTGGGGATTCACAGATCATAGGGACCTCTAAGCAGAATAGCAACTAGTTCACATCAAATAGAGAATCAATCAGTCGATCAGTCAATCAAACAGCTTCTTTGGAGGATTTTGTCCTTTTTTTAAAAAAAATATTTCTTAAACGGATGTAAAAAAAAAAAAAAAAACCAAACGAAGATATTAATAAATTCAACCACCAGTGTCACAGAGATACAGATTTCTTATCCAGGGCTTTTCCTCCTCTTGGTGTTTGCTCTGAGCCAAATATCAGTTTCAGAAAAATGGAAAATAAGTGATAATTTCTGTGTGTGAAGTAAAATAGGGAGCAGTCTCCTGTTTGCCCATGGTAGGAGAGAGGAAGGAGAGGGATGGATGGCTCAGGAGTTGCAGTCTGCAGAACCCCCATCTTTTGGCTGCCTTCAGAGCCAGCCCAGGTAGGCAGTGACCACAGTCCTCATCTTTGGGTGATTTTTGAGAACCCGTGTGGAAGCAGCTGAGGGGCTCCACCCAAAGCTTGGTGCCAGGTGCCACATCACAGCAAGTTCCTGTCACGGTGGGCACTGCCTGATGCCCTGGTTGGCCACTGAGCTGCCCTCTCCCCATCTGAGTGGGGACTGAGAGGTCTTGGCTGCTCTGCCTGGGAGAGCTGTGGGTGGTGATTGCATTTCCAGCTCTGTGGGAGCCTTGGGAGAGACCCTCCATCCCCTGTGGGCTCCCCAGTGCTCCCACAAGATCAGATTCCACTCTGTTAGGAAAGCAAATCCAACAGAGAGGGTGCATGGTTATGAAATTGCCTTTTAGTGAACAGAAGAATCCATCCCACTTTCCAGTGATGGATGTGGCTCTTTGGGGCTATCACAGGGCAGATTGCTGGAGACCAAATCCTGGGGCTCTCTTCTGATCTCCACCGAATTCCCAGCTGGATGTGGGAGAGATCCCTCCATGGCCATGGCTTGATGTCAGGGGACTCTGCTCCTAAAAGGAAGGGCTACCTTACTCCCAAAGCCCTCCTCCTGGTCTGGGGGAAATAGGGCTGTTAGAAAGCTCCTGTACTGTCAGTGACAAAAGAAAATTAGATTTAGGGCAAAGAAGGAAACTGAGGGTTGAATTTCTTAACAGTAGCTAATGATCAGTTTATAGTAGCAGCTGTCTTAGATAAGCATTTGTGTAGAGTGCGGCATCACCGCCAGCATCACCTCATCCATATAGTGACGAGAAATTTTAAAAAAGTTTAAAAAAAATTTAAAAAGTAATTTAAATGAAATGTTTGTGTGTAAGAAATGGTTGAAACTGTCAAATGTCTGTGTCCCACGTTGGTGGGACCTGAGAAGGTATCTGCGAGATATTAACCCTGTCCTACTCTCTGTGGTGCTGAGTGTTTGCTTGGTGTGTAATTCTGACCTGGAGCTTGTTGTAAATACTGTTTTTAGTACTATGATTATTATGATTATTATTATCAGAAATGTTGTACTCATGAGCAAGAGTTGAAAACAAGAAAAATGGCCATTTTCACTCTCTCCTGGGGGCTCAGAAGGAGTCGGAGGCTGGGCCAGGTGAAGGCAGGGTGCCAGTGGGATGCTTGAGCAGAGAGCAGCTGGAGAACGATGGAATTGGGAGCTGGAGGCAGCCGAGTCCTGCGGGCAGGGCAGTGAGAGCGGGGACGGCTGCTCCTCATGCTGGGAGGAGAAGGAAGGGCTGAGAGGAAGAATAGAGGTGATGCTTCAATTCTAGTTCATATAATTTAGTGTTGATCTAAACCTCCCTGTGTGGAGGTTCCAGGTGGTTCCCTGCAACCCGGTGGAAGCTGGAGGATCTGTCACGTTTAGCATGTGCTGGAAGAGAGCTGTACTAAGTTGTGCTGGTCAAAGCCATCCTCCCAAACAGCTCCTGAGTCTCCAGGCTCAATTCCTGCCTGGATCTTCCCTCTCAGTCCCTTGTGCTGCCCTGTGTCCCTCTCTTCCCCCTCCCTGGAGCCCAGATAGGTCTCAAGTGGGGACTTATTATTGCAATAGCTTTTCCTGGCAAAAATTCCCATGGCAAGTGCAGAATGGCCTGGCAGATGGTGCTCATGCAGGTGTGAGCACTGGGAAACTAATTTTTCTCCCCTCCATCAGGTTGGTGCAGTGAGGGACGGTGGATATGGCTGGAAAATGTGTTCCTGCAGGAGAAGCTCCTGCAGGGAGGAGCAGGGATGTGCAGGGAGAGCTGTGCATTGGTAATGTCAGGGAGCTGCTGCTGAGACACTTGGTGCCAAGGAAACAGCCTCAGCTGTGGGGCCAGAGGCTTTACGTGTCCCGCAGCTGTGTTTGCCTGGTGCAGGTGGATAGAGTAGGGATGTTCAGGAGCTTGTCCAGTGCCACTGGGCACTATCAGGGAAATGTGTGACTGCTTTGGCTGCGTGGTGTTGCCTGGATGAGGGGTGTCCACCCACTGCTCCAAACCCATCATGGCCAGGAGCTCATGCAGCACTGTGCCCAACCTGCAGCACGTGGCATGGGCCAGGATCATGGTTATTCCATGCCTTCCCATATCCCTTCATGCTATTGGCTGTGTGCAGCTGCATACTTCATGCCTCAAATTAGACTAATTAAGTATCTTCATTAATATCCTTACTGCCCCAGCCTATGTCATTCCTGGAGCATTCCCATGTACCGTGGATGTGGACACAGCATGCAACCTCCCCAGTCTCGGGGCCACCTTCCTTACTGTGGGGTTTGAGGTCTCCACTGATCCCTGAAGGTGTTTGTGAATTGAGTTCAGAGCCAACAGTTTTCAACCCCATTTTAGCAGCATCATATGGACATGGGAATGTGCCTTGCAGGGGGGAGCATCCACAGGGCACCCACAGCATCCCTGCCTGGACCTCAAGTGTGGCAGCAGTGTGAGGGAGGAAAGCCAGGAGGGTGACATCATTATGTGCATGCACAGGCCTTCCAAGAGCCCTCCTGGAAAAGAGCCTTTGGTTTGGGCAAGAAAGAGGAGCTGAAGCTAAATGAGCTCCCAGCTGGCACCAACAGCCGGGCGATGGGTGAAGCTGTAGGAAAGGCAAAACCAGCCTCAAAGCCCAAACTACAGCTCTGTGCCCACATTATTCCACACAGCAGAGCTCAGCTCTGCCTGTAAATAGGCACACTTCTAAGGATGCTGGCCCCTCTAACTGCTTCTGGACTGAGCCTATTCCTTGTCTTATTATTTTGGAGTCATTAAAAAATCTTGCTCTAACCAGTTGTGGGGTTTCCTTTGAGTTGACCTTCCAGGGCCGGTGGGAGTTGAGGAGTTGCATGCATCCTGCCTCGGGGGTAGGTCGGTATTGCTGCTCCTTTTCAAATGTAAACTTCAGCTTGCTTGCTTTAGCTTAGCCCAGCGTGACTCTGGCCCTGGCTCTGCAATCCTGTCTCATGGGGTTTGTTCTATCCCTCCCATGGCATTCCTGTCCTCCTCCTCGCAGTGGCTGTGCACACACGCACACAGAAACGCATCCGTGGAAACAATATATGCACATTCACTCTGATACCACTTGAAATGAGTCAGGGAATGGCTGTTTATGGTGCTAGGGATTTCTTACTGTCCATGCTAGGGACGAGATGACATAGTAAGACCAATAAACTCCACCTTTGTAGTCAGTTGTCTTTAAGTAAAGCAGCAGAGGGGCACTGGCCCATGCCTATGTTTGGGTGCTCCGTGGTCCCTGGGGTGCAGGGACACAGGGGACAGCTGGGCATCCTGGCCCTGGCATCCCCTGTGCCTCAGTTTCCCTCACCCTTTGACAAGGGGACATAGATGCTCCCTCCCCACGGGGACCACGGGAGAGCCAATGCCTCCACGTCTCTAAAGTGCTCTGAAATGGAAAGTACCAAAGTATGGAGTCGGGATAGGCAGCTGTGCACCCCGGGAGGAACACCCCGGCCCATGGCTGCAGGAGAGGGTTGGAAGATGACTGTGTGGGCACAGGGCTGAGCTGTCAGCCCAGGGCTCAGCACCCCGGCTGCACTCCGGGCAGGATGTGCTCCTCCTGCCACAGCCGGGGTCACATCCCTTGCGCTGGGTGGGGAGCTGGCACAGTGTCATGGAAAGACTTTCCATCCCTAACAGAGCCTTGTCCGGTTCCCTTTGGTCTGCCACGTGCATTTCATTGTCAACTTGAGGTTGTTGTTGTGCAAAAGAAGTGATCATGAAAAAAAATAAAGGAAAAAAAAAGAAATAAAGTTGGTATGAAACCGTATGTGTCCGTCTCTCTCCGGGTCGTTTTAGTTGCAAGGCTTCTCTTTGTATTGTGAGAATACCAATAAACAGCATTAAACAGAAAATTGACCTAAAGATTTAACAAAATAGACCTTAATCCTCTGAATGCTCAGTGACTGCTTTTTCACACACCATAAAAGAAGCAGAATTTGACAGTTTATCACCATTCTCAGAGGGACAACGTAATAAATGCTTTAATGAGGGTCCTGCTGCCACCCCCTGTGGCTGGGAGTGAGGTTGTGCAAAGTCTTTACACAGGAAGATGGAAAAAGATACAAAACAGTTACAAATACAAGTGCAGTTCTAGAAACCACATGAGCTTCTTTATTAAAAACTCCAATGCTTCCTTCATGAGCTTTTCCTGAGAAAGGATCCAGCCTGGGCTGGACAGAGTGGGAGGGAGCAGGGCTGCAGTCCTCAGGGAGATGGGCCCCAACCCATGAGCCCCTGCATGGCCAACGCTCCCAGTCCCATCCCTGGAGCCAGGTACACAAAAATGTCCAAAAGCTGCAACTGAACACAGAGAAGTTTGTAATCCACAAGGACATGTGGGGGCAATGTCTTGCTGCTGGGGAAAGGTTCCCCCACTTGCCTTGTGGGGAGGGCTTTTGCCACCACAAGTGGTGCCCAGTGTCACCGGCCACTGTCCTCCCTGTCCTTGAGGGGATGTTGAAATGGCAGCATCCTCCTGGGCTGTCCCACATCTTGTGATCCCATCAAAATAACCAGTGTGGGAGACTTTCCACAGAGCTCAGCAGCACTCGGCACACAAGGAGACAAACTGAGGGGAAGGCAGGGGGGATAAATTTTAATTCTCAGGGCAGTGTTCTGTGAGGGCTGGGAGGGTAGTGCCAGGAGAACAGTGCCAGGACAGTGCTGGGGCCATCACGGTGGTGGCAGTG